GCAATAGAGAAAATAACAAAAAATAATAAAATACAAAGCAAAAATAACAAAAAAAAAACCAAAATGAAGGAAAAATAACAAAAATTCTTTCCTATTTTACTCGTTTGAATAAAATATACAAATAAAATTGAAAAATATCAAAATAACAAGAAAATAGCAAAAATAATTTGCTACTTTGCTTTGCTCTAAATTAAGTAAACAAATAAAGTCTAAAAAAAATAACAAAACTAAAAGAAAATAACAAAATACTTTTCTATTTTTCCCGTCTAAATTGAAAACTGCCTAAATTTAGTGAATATTTAATTAATTAATAAATAAAAAAGAAAAAAAAAACAAAAAAGTTTTGTCTAAATGGATTAAATAAAATATAATAAATAACAAAAAATATAAATATTTATAAAAATATGTAAATAAAATTGAAAAATAGCAAAACAACAAGAAAATAACAAAAATATTTTTGCTACTTTGCCCATTTAAATGGAATAAAATGTAAAAGAGAAAATAACAAAGAAAAAATAATAAAATATAAAGAAAAAATAACAAAAAATAACAAAATAATTAAAAAATAACAAAACTTCTTTGCTATTTTACTCGTTTTAATGAATGAAATTTATAAATAAAATTGACAAACAATAAGAAAATAACAAAAATATTTTGCTTCTTTGCCCGTCGAAATTAAGTGTATAAATAAATAAATTAATTAATAAAATCGAAAAAATAACAAAAATTATAAATAATTATGTTTATGTCATGAATAAATAAATAATTATAAAAGTATATAAATAAAATTGAAAAATAGCAAAATAACAAGAAAATAACAAAAATAATTTGCTTCTTTGCCCGTTTAAATTAAATAAATAGATGAATAAAAAAAGGAAAATAACAAAAATATTTTGCTTCTTTGCCCGTCTAAATTAAATAAATAGATGAATAAAAAAAAAGAAAATAACAAAAATATTTTGCTACTTTGCCCATTTAATGAATAAAATGTAAAAGAGAAAATAACAAAGAAAAAATAATAAAATATAAAGAAAAAATAACAAAAAATAACAAAATAATTAAAAAATAACAAAACTTCTTTGCTGTTTTACTCGTTTTAATGAATGAAATTTATAAATAAAATTGACAAACAATAAGAAAATAACAAAAATATTTTGCTTCTTTGCCCGTCGAAATTAAGTGTATAAATAAATAAATTAATTAATTAAATCAAAAAAATAACAAAAATGATAAATAATTATGTTTATGTCATGAATAAATAAATAATTATAAAAGTATATAAATAAAATTGAAAAATAGCAAAATAACAAGAAAATAACAAAAATAATTTGCTTCTTTGCCCGTTTAAATTAAATAAATAGATGAATAAAAAAAAGAAAATAACAAAAATATTTTGCTTCTTTGCCCGTCTAAATTAAATAAATAGATGAATAAAAAAAAAGAAAATAACAAAAATATTTTGCTACTTTGCCCATTTAAATTGAATAAAATGCAATAAAGAAAATAACAGAAAAAGAAAAAACAATAAAATATAAAGAAAAAATAACAAAATAAAGGAAAAATAACAGAAAAAAAGAAAAAATAACAGAATAACAGAAAATGAAAAAAATAACAAAAAAAAAAAAGAAAAAGTGACAATACTTTTATGTAAAAATAATAATAATAACATTTTTTCGTCGTCTTTCCTCGAAACGTCACCTGATAGCTCGAGGGAACTTGTTTGAAATCGATTCGTGACGTTTGCGAACGACGAAGAGACTACGACGAAAAACGAGGGAGATTTTGACGACCAACTTTATGTCGTGTGTCTAGGTCGCTTTGAGTATACAACAGCATTCTCGAAAGTATATCGAGGAGTACTCACACGCAAGAGCTGAAGCAATCGACCACTTTGGTTCGCCAAAGTCTTCTATATTCCATACATGAAACACGATGCGCCAAAAGTGAAAATGTATTTGTTAGTCTTTGTTAACGTACAGTTGCATCGCACAATGTAAAGTCACGATTATTGCAAATCTGCAAAAATCTCATCTCCTCAACCGCACACTTTATTTTTTTTTCCTTTCTTTTCTTGCAAAAAAAAAACACAACTTGCGCAAAAAAAATTATCGAACATTTTTTCATTTTTAAAAATTATAAATTTAGAGAAAAATGTTCAAATTTCAAAATTTTCTAAATTAAAAAAATCTTTTAATTTCGACATTTTCTAAATTAAAAAAAAATCGTTGAAATTCGTCATTTTTTTCAATAAAAGAATTTTTCAGTTTCAAAATTTTTTTTAAATTTAACTTGAAAAAATATTTATTTAAATTTAGATCCATTTTTTTCGATTTATTTCTAAATAATAAAAATAGAGAAATAAATATAGAATAAATAATAATAGAAATTCAGTTTAAAAAATTATCAGGAGAAGAAAATTTGTGAATAGAAATTGTACAAATTCTACAATTAACAATTCTGTAAAATTCCCATTAATATGAATTATTCTAATTTTTATATATTATTTAAAAATAATAAAAAAAACTTATTATCATTTGTTTAAAAAAATGAAAATCTATTATTTATTATTTAACATTAACACTAATATTAACATTCAGACATTAATCGTAATGACAAAAAATTAATCTAATTCTTCATTTTTTTTTTTTTTTTGCCTCTAAATATAATTTGCAATTATCGAAAAAATAGGGAAAAGTAAGAAAACTCTTTTTGCTCTGAATTATTATTAAACTTTGCAATTAGGTGAAAAAAATTTCGATATTAAGAAACGATTTCATTAGCATAGTATAAATACTCAATTTTCTAATCTCAAAGATTCATACAAAATATTTATTCTATTTAGATTATTTATTTTAAGATTTGTCTTTAGAATTTAGAAAATTTAGAAAATTGATTAAAAAAAAAAAAAATTTGGTACAAAAAATAATTTATAGAAAATTGTGAGAAGAAAATTTACAGAAGAATTTTAGTTAAAAACAATAAAAGAAATTGAATTTTAAAGCAATTATAAATTATTGCAAAAATTCAATTATTTTCAAAAGTAGAAAAATTTTTCTCCGAAATTCAATTATTTTCAAAAATAAATTTCAATTTTAATAAAATTCTTGGAAAAATTTCAATTATTTTCAAAAACTTTTCTCAATTTAATGATTTTTAATGTCTACTACTTTAATAAAAATTCACAAAAGAATTAAATTATTTTCATAAATAATAAAAATTTTACAAGAATTCAATTATTTACAAATTATTTTTGTAAATTATTATTCAATTATTTTCATAAATAATAAAATTCTTTCTTGAAATTCAATTATTTTCATGAATAATAAAACTTATAATAGAATTTCAATTATTTTTTATACAATTTTAATTGAATTCCTCGAAAAATGTAATTATTCTTAAAAATTTTATTAAAATTCATCAAAGAAATTCAAGTATTTTAAAAATTTTTGCTACAATTTATTTATTAGAATTTAAGTTTTATTTTCAATACAGTTTTAATTAAATTTCTTCAAAGATTTAAATTATCAAAAATTTTAATGCAATTTTTTTGTAACAATTCAATTTTTTTCAAAATAATTTTAATAAAATTCTTCGTAAAAATTTAATTAATTTCAAAAATTTGTCAAAATTCAATTATTTTCAATATCTAATATTTTAATAAAATTTCACAAAAAAATTCAATTATTTAAAAAGAAATTTTATGAAAATTCACAAGAATTCAATTATTTTCAAAAGAAATATAATTCTTCGCAGAAATTCAATTGTTGAAAGATTTACAAAAATTCTCGTCAGAATTTCAATTCTTTATAAAAATAATAAAATTCTTCTCCGAAATTCAATTATTTTCAAAAATAAATTTCAATTCTAATAAAATTCTTGGCAAAATTTCAATTATTTTTAAAAACTTTCCTCAATTCAATGATTTTTAATATTTACTATACTTTAATAAAATTTCACAAAAGAATTCAATTATTTACAAAAAAATTTTAATAAAATTCTACGCAAACATTTAATTATTTTCATAAATAATAAAACTTCCACTGGCATTGAATTATTTTCAAAAACTCTTATAAAATTCTTTGTTTGAGTTCAATTATTTTTAATACAATTTTAATCAAATTTCTCGAAAAATGAAATTATTTTTAAAAATTTTATTAAAACTTGTCAAGATAATTATTCAATTATTTAAATTTCTTTTAAAAAATTCTTTATGATAATTCAATTTTAAGAAACATTCAATTATTCAATAAGTTATTAATTTTTATATTTAAATAATTGAATTCTCGCAGAATTTTTTAATAAAAACTAATTTAAAAATAAATTTCAGTTAAAATTTTCCAATTATAATTGACTATTGAAAGCATTATAGCGTAAATTTTTAAAAATAATTGAATTTTAAAAATTTGAATTTAAAAATAATTGAATTTTAAAAACTTTGAAATTCGGAATTTTTCACTCTTTTAATTAATAATTATGTTGAATTAGAAAATAAAAACTTCAAATATATATTTAATGGAAAAATTTCAAAATAATCGAAATTTCGTAAAATTGAATTGTAAACAAAAGAATTTGAAAATTTTCAAACAACTTTTAAAAAATTATTTTTAAAAAATTGATTTAAAGAAGAATTGTAGATAAAAATTCTAGAAATGAAGAATTGAATCTAAATGATGAAAATAATTTTTGAAGAAGTTACAATACAGAAAAATATGGAATTGAACTAAATTTTGATTTCATTCTCGAATTACTTTTTAAATTCTAAAAAAAAAAATGCCAGTACATAATCGCAATCGGTGTAAAAAGTCTCTAGAAACTTTTTACGAAACTTTCCAGTAAAATATCAAAGGCAGGAAAAAAAACTATCAAAATCAAAGACACTTTTTTTTCTTGTTGTTGAATATTATTATAAAATGAATAATAATGTAAAAATTAACGTCTCATTAGCAATGGATGAGGGAAATGACAACATTAAAGTAACAGGCCTTCATTTTAAGACCGACAGTAACTCTCTGACCTGACAGTGAAACTGAACAATAAATAACGAGAGGAAGTGATAGAGTTCAATAATTTAAATCGATAGTCACTTCAAATTTATCCTTTCGGTATTAACTCTTTTTTTTTTTTTTTTCGTAATAAACAATTTAATCGAAAATAATTTTTTTTCCCTAAATTCTCCAATATTTTTGCCGCAAAGTAATTTTTTAAGAAAACTATTTTCCCATTAAAAATACAATTAGTTTTCTTTTTCGTTTCTTCGTAATAAGAAAGAAGAAATTATTAACGATGAGTAATTCTTCGGGCAGAAAGGAGAAAATGGAATTGCCTCATCTGCTCGTTAATTGTGTGTCAACGAATGGCTTCTTGTGAGTCTTTTTTTCTCTTTCATTTAAATTAAAATCTTTATAAAAATTATCTACTGGCAATTCTCGATTGTAAAAGTGACAAGGTAAATTTTTAATAATATAAAAACTTGTTAAAACTTTTACCGCATGGACTATTTTTTCGATAAAAAAAAGCGAAATTTAACCGAAAAGTTGAAAGTTACATTTTTAATTTAAAAAAAAAATTAATTAATTAATAAAAAAGAAAAAAATTAATTTAAAAATGTCATTTTTAATTCAAATTTAAAATTAAGTTAATATTTCAAAATCAAATTGAAAATTAATTTTTAAAAAATTAAATTAAAAATTATAATTTCACAATTGAACTGAAAATTACAATTTTATTTATTTAAAAACAGTGTCTTTTAGTTTTACAATTAAATTAAAAATCAAAATTTTACGAGTAAACTAAAGACTACATTTTTATAATTAAATATATAAAAAATTAGAATTATTTCCGAATGAAAATTTCTAATTAAATATAAAAAGTTACAATTTCCAAATGAAAATGTTTAATTTAATTTAAAAAATTACAATGTCCAAATGAAAATTTTTAATTTAATTTAAAAAATTACAATGTCCAAATGAAAATTTTTAACTTAATTTAAAAGTTAAAAATTTCAGAATTGAAATTAAAAATTCCAAATTCCAAATTAAATTAAAAATATCTGAAAATATTTAAAAGTTTTAAAATTATTGTATAAACTAGAAATATTTTTAAATAGATTTGAAAATATGTTAAATTAATTTAGAGAAAAACTTGTGATTCATATTTATTTTTAAGTTCCCCTGTCAATATATATTTTTATGCAACGAGAAACTTAACAACTAATTCTCCCTTGTAAAAATAATTCCGACCAATACAGAAATAGTAATTGATAAAAAGGGGTCGTTAATTGATCTCTATCCTGTCTCTCGTTATGGAGATTATTTTTTCACAGCATTAAAAAAGCTACATAGAAATTAATTCAGGGAAATTATTAATAAAAAAAAGAATAAACAAACAAAAATTATTTCAAATTTTTTTTTATTTTATAGAAACTTTTCTATTTTTTCTATATTTATTCCATTTATTTATTTAATTAATTAATTTTTTATTTCATTAATAAAGTTTCTAGTTTTTCCGTTTATATTATAATTTTAAATTTTAAATTAATTAAAATCAAAATTTTCATAGAAAAAATTTTATTTCTTCGATTTATTTTGTTTTATAAATTAATGAATAAAATTATTAATTAATTAATTAATTTAAGATTTGAATGACAACTTTTCTGGTTTTTTCCTTTTTATTAATTATTAAAAACTACAAATTTTCAATCAAAAAAATTTATTTTCTTCGTTTATTATATTTATTGATTTAATTATTTATTGTTTATTTATATTTATTTTATTTCTTTCAATATTTAATTGTTTTTTAATGAATTTATTTGATTCTTCTGATCCAAATCAAAATTTTACTGCTCGTCGATATTTCATAAATACAAAAAAATTTTTAATTTTGTTACCTTTATAATTAAAATTTAATTTAAAAAAAAAATTTATTTTTCTACATAATGTTTGAGAAAATTGAAAAATGTTACAAAAGAAAAAGTTGCTCTTAATTTGATCTCTCCAACTAGATGTCATTGACTCGAGAGAACTCTTCTCAATCGTTTTAAAAACACTAAGTGCGTTCTCTCAGTACAGTCACGTTTTCAATTCAATCAAAATAGTAAAAATAGAAAAAATCTGAAAATAAAAAATAAAAAAAAAATGTTTCAGAAAAAAATTAAAATAGTAAAATAGGTAAAAAGTTCCCAAAGTGAATTTTTTTCTCTAAATAAAACAACCCACATTTGTTTTGATTCTAATAAAAAAAGATCGAAATGAATTAGTTTCGATTGGGATTGTATCTTTAATTTTTTTTTTTAAATGAAATCACAGAAGTTAGAATGGAACACGTGCGGCTTATTCATTGATACACGAAGTGTCTGCGTGATAGAGTAAGATTTGGCACATTGACTATTTTTATTTATTTTTTTTTATTTTCGTTTCCTAACGAATCGACATATTTATCAAAAATAAAGATTGATTGAAAAAGTAATCGATAAAAATAAAAATAACTTTTTTTTTTTGACAAATTATGTGGATCTTACTAAACCCCAAAAGAGACAGAAAGAGTAACTGATTAAAAAAAATCCTTTTTTAAACCGTAATTGAATTATTAATAAACAATATATGATAATAAAAATCATAACACAATGGAGTATTATTGTCTCAGAAAATTAATTTATGCATCTTTACCGTATTTTGTTTTATCAGTTCAAAAGTTAATTATTCTTTCGACTGAACAAAGTCTTTTTTAATCATTTAAGCAGAGCGTGTCCGTTGAAAAAAAAAAAATATATATATATATACAATATTATACGATTACAAAAAAAAATTATGTTCTCAATTATTCAAATTTATATCATTAAAGGAAAAAAAAGAAACATTTTCGTTACAAACTTTTTGATGCGATAAAAAACACACGTCATATATCCAATGGAATTTGGATTCTTTCAATTTTTTGAACGGGATTCTCAGGATGATTCAACATAATTTGCAAATCAACCTTTCTCTCCTATACCTGAAAATTTGCGCAATAAGGGAAAAAAAACACGTTTCTTTTACGTATTACATCGAGATATTTTTGATTGTTACAAAATTAAGAGACGGAGAGAGAAAAAAAAATGTTTATCAAATGATTTTTTTTATTTTCAATTTCATTACTATTAATGATAATTACAGAAGTTTATGCAACTATTATTGATTATTAGTTTCTGTTGGTTTTAATTACGGTTGATCGTAACTATACTATTAATGGTGATTATCGTTAATTTTAGGTAATAAAATAAATAAATAATATAAAGAATTAAAAAAAAAGAACAAATACTAAAATTAATAAACAAATACTAAAATAAATAATAATATAAACATAAACAAATAACAAAATACGTAAACAATTAATTGAACAAATAACAAAATAAATGAACAATTAAACAAATAATAAAATAAACAAATACCAAAATAAATAAGCAATTAGATAAATATAAATACAAAAATATATTTATATAATTTTGTTATTTATAAATAACAAAATAAATAAACAATAAAACAAACAATTAATCAAATAAATAAGCAATTAAATAAAAAAGTAATACAATAAACAAATAACACAATATATAAACAATTTAATAAACAAATAGTAAAATAAACAAATTACAAAATAAATTAGCAATTAAATAAACAAATAATAAAATAAACAAATAGCAAAATAAATAAGTAATTGAATAAATAAATACAAAAATATATAAATAAAAAAATTAATTAACAATAAAATAAACAATTAACAAAATAAATAAACAATTTAATAAACAAATAGCAAAATAAATAAATAATTGAATAAATAAATATAAAAATATATAAATAAAAAAATTAATTAACAATAAAATAAACAATTAACAAAATAAATAAACAATTTAATAAACAAATAGCAAAATAAATAAATAATTGAATAAATAAATACAAAAATATATAAATAAAAAAATTAATTAACAATAAAATAAACAATTAACAAAATAAATAAACAATTAAATATAAAAATAGTACAATAAACATAGAACAAAATATATAAACAATTAAATAACTAAATAGCAAAATAAATAAACAATTAAATAAACAAATAGAAAAATAAATAAACAATTAAATAAACAAATAGCAAAATAAATAAACAATTAAATATGAAAATAATACAATAAACAAAATAACAAAATATATAAAAAATTAAATAAACGAATTACAAAATAAATGAACAATTAAATAAACAAATAACAAAATACATAAACAATTAAAAAAACAAATAACAAAATAAATAAACAATTAAATAAACAAATAACAAAATAAATGAACAATTAAATAAATAATAAAATATACAAATAACAAAATAAGTAAACAATAACATAAACAAATAACAAAATAAATAAATAAATAACAAAATGAATAAATAATAAAATAAATAAATAAATAATCCGATAAATAATTGTTTGAACCACTGGTTTTAAAGACTAGATTTAATTCCAATAGTAATTGATCAGTAACATAATTATCTTCACGCTCTCTGTCTCTCAAAAACATTGTTTTAAAATAAAAAAATCCTATAAGACAAAGGAAAAAAAATTCGCAGAAACTGTCAAAGTGATTTTAAAATTCTACAATATGCGTGCTGATATATATGTGTATATTGACTCGAGGTGAAATAAAAATTAAGAAGTCGACACTGCTTATACCAACAACTCTTGCGACGGGAATGTGCAAGTTGCTTGGAAAATTGAATAATCCTATTTCGTAATCGCACTTCGTAATGAACCTTATAACTCCGCCATTTCACCTTTCAGAAAATTCTAAAGTTTAAAAAAAAAAAAAAAATTATGAATTTCGAATTCAAATTTTATTTTACTTTTTTGTCTACCGAAAGTTTTTTTTTAAAATTTTATTTTAAAATATTCACGGTACTGTATGTGATTATTATCATTAGGTAAATATTTGGTAAATAATTACAATTAATTAACGAATGATTATAATTATAAATTGTAATTATAATTATTAATGAATAATTTTAATAATTTAATTAATGAATAATTTAAATAATTTAATTATTGAATAATTATTATTATTATAATTTATTATTATAATTATTTAGTAAATAATTATTATTATTTAATGAACAATTTTAATTATTTAATGAATATTTATAATTATTTAGTGAATAATTATAATTGTTTACTTTCGTATAGGTAATAAGTAAAAATAAATATAAATAAATTATAATTGACAAGTATTTAGTGAATAATTATAATTATTTAATTACTAATTACAATTATTTACTTTACTAGAAGTAATGATTATAAATAAATATAAATAAATTATAATTCATAATTATTTAGTGAGTATAAAATAATTAA